TTATCGTATAATTTTGTCTAAATTAAATTCGATTAATCGAAGTCATGATGAAAGAGTATTGAGAATCTATAATATAGAGCAGCTCACATTAAAAACTTACATACGCGGATTAACAGGCCAATTAGAGAATAACATTAGACTAAGAAACCCTGCTACATTAGAAAATGCGTTGGCATTACTAATAGAGGAAGAAAATATATTTATTGTCAAAGTAGAAATAATTCGTTAAACATACAAACCAGCACCTTTGAGATTCATTCCTAATAATCAATCTAATAGACCAATAAATTATCAGAATCAATCACCAAATAGAACGAGAAATAGAATAACTGAACGGAAATGGTCTTGACAACAAAACTGTGATTGAATATATTGAGCTTACATCGCTATGTATGAAACAAAATTGTTTTCAATTAAAAAAAAATTGGACAACGTGAAGGTGGTACGTAGCACACTGTGTTATATGGCACTTTTGTGACACCTTTCAGTGTGTCATGGGTGATGAAACAGCGTCAATGAATTTTTTGACACTAACACTTTTAACATAACGCTGCAAGCTTTCCGCACGGAGTATCGTATCGAGACGCGGGCGCGGTGCAGTTTCGTTGGGTTCGCTATGCCATGGTGTTGAATCAGCGTCAATGAATTTTTTGACACTGACACTGTTAATATAAGGCCGCAAGCTTTCCGCACGGAGTATCGTATCGAGACGTGGCCGCGGTGCCATTTCGTTAGGTTGGCTATGCCAGCATGATACATGATACAATAAAACAGTTTTATTGTGTCCTGCTGGGCCAGTGTGATTCGATTTCTTTTTATATGCAAACGAGCATCGATAATTGCTTGCAGTTTTGCAGACCCAGTATTAGTGGAAATCTACGATAAATTTGTTACTGTTTATGAAATAAATATTACCGACGTCTCAAATAAATGGTTCATGGTTCGTGGGAAGATGTAGAGCTAAATCTGACGTAGACTCGCGTTTACATCTTCTCGATTGTTATTGTAATAAAAGATTGATAGTAAATATTAATGAATTTTTTGTTTCTTATCGTGGAGAAAATATATATTTTGTTGATAAAAGAGTGGTTTTCTTACAATATGGATTTGATTTAGTGCCTTTCAGTTTCGGTTTTGTTTAGGCAACACATCGTCGCGGCGCATTGTTACTAACATTAGTAGTAGGGGGAGAATAATTATAGGAAAATATTCAAGAGGCTAATCGGTTATGCATACGAATACTGTAAACTAAACAAAACTAAAACAAAACACGTGGTGTGCTTAGTGCTATGGGAATTACCGATCTCCGATTTTGCGTAACGACTACTTTGGCAAACCAATCATCCTTTCATTGAGTATGCGTGCTCTAATTTTCGAATTTAAAAGACTACTTTAGCTCTTCAAGATGCTTAAGAGAATACCTGTACTCCTATATTAGATAACATTGTATATGAAACTACCCTTAAATTATCAAAAAAGTGTGTTTAATTTTTATTGTATTTCAAAGTAGGTACGCAATTTTCCATCATTTGGCAACATGCAGTACCGCGTCAACCGTCGGGCCTCTCGACAGTGAGCGCAAGAAACCGCAAACAGTGGCAAACACGAAACCCTGTGTGTGTTTAACTGAAATAACGCTGATTCACTACTGTGCCATATGACACAATCGTGCTGATACTCTGTGTTGATACCGGAAAAGGTGTCAGTGTTACTGTATCAACACACGAAAAATTAGAGTGTTACCCATGACTAGTGGTACGGCAATGGGTAATCTATTGTCTCCATTTTTAGCTAATTGTCAGGTTTGAAGTTGAGGCTAAAAATCAGTTTGAGTAAGTAGAGGGAGATGGGGGTTTCTACGCCAGGCGGAGGCGGAGGGAGTGACGTCATCAGCTAAGAACATGTAAAATAGGCTAATAAACAAAAATAAACAGGTTTGCACCGCTTAGAACCACTTTAAAATAGAAATAAACAGGTTTGGACAAAAAATGAACAGGTCTGTTGTTTTAAGCTAAAAGCGATTCAAAACAGTTCAAAATCGGTTCAAAGCGGTTTTAACCTGTTTATTCTTGTTTATTAGCCTATTTTACGTATTCTTAGCTGATGACGTCGTTGATAATGTCACTCCCTCCGCCTCCGCCTGGCGTAGAAACCCCCATCTCCCTCTACTTGAGTATTTTACAAGAATGTGGTTTAGATATGTGAATGACATTCTCGCTGTTTTTGACACATATTTTGACACCATAGATAATTATATTTCTAAATTAAATAATCGTTTTCCTTCCATCAAATTTACATATGAAATTGAGAACGATAGATTACCATTTCTAAATGTATTAGTTATTAGAAATACTACTAATTGCCTGGAATTTGATATCTATAGAAAAAATACCACTACATAGAGATATATTTCTAATGAGTTATGTCATAGTGAATATAAGATGGCTAGTTTAAATTTCTTAGTCTAAAGTACTTACCAACAAAAGATATGAAATATGATGTTATACAATAAATAACATTCTACTTACCAACCAGAGTGTAATTCCAAAGAGTGTAATGGATATGCTTCTTTATTGGTTGATAAAATAATAAGAAAACGTATGTATAATATTACGATTTCTGAAAATTCGTCTTTTCAAGTGTAGATAGATACATCAAAATATTTTCCAATACCGTTTGATAAACAGTTATCCTGTGGTTTAAAAAGAATTTTTAAGAATGTCAATTATAAACTGGTATATAGTGCTAATAATAAATTACTACAATTTTCCTTCGCTTGTCCTTGATATAATTACCATGTAGTTTCCGAATAAACCTACTCATCAGCACGAACATATTTGGAGCTTTTGATCTGTGGCTCGGTCCGATCGCTGCCTGTGTTGTCATTCCGTTTTCGTGCTCATCAACGACGACTGTAAACAAATGGCTAGTGTCGCGTGTATCGAAAATTAAAAAGAAAAATGCCGAAAAGACCAGTTAAAGACAAGGACCGGGACAAATACGGTGAAATAATGAGATTAAAAAAGCAATTTAGAGAAATGCAAGAACATTTAAATAAGATTTATGATTCTACTGAATCATCTTCTGAAGTTTTTTCAACATCAGGTAGATTTTTTTATCCTTTTTAGCTTAGTGAAGAGTTGCCAGATAACAAGGAGAAATTTAGGCAGAGATATCGTGCGATATTCCCTGAGAGACAGGAAAACCTATTTATTTAAGAACATTTAAATAAGATTTATGATTCTACTGAATCATCTTCTGAAGTTTTTTCAACATCAGGTAGATTTTTTTATCCTTTTTAGCTTAGTGAAGAGTTGTCAGATAACAAGGAGAAATTTAGGCAGAGATATCGTGCGCTATTCCCTGAGAGACAGGAAAACCTATTTATTTAAGAACATTTAAATAAGATTTATGATTCTACTGAATCATCTTCTGAAGTTTTTTCAACATCAGGTAGATTTTTTTATCCTTTTTAGCTTAGTGAAGAGTTGTCAGATAACAAGGAGAAATTTAGGCAGGGATATCGTGCGATATTCCCTGAGAGACAGGAAAACCTATTTATTTAAAAGTAAACAAATTTTTACTTAAAAAATGTCTATACCTATGTGGCGGATTCATCTCTCCAAAAAAATTCTTTATAAGTATTTCGCCACCGCACTGCAAGAAAATCTACAAAATAAAATAGTTATTTTTTGTAAACACTTATGCGTTAAACCTAAACGGACACTGCTTGTCAGAAGTTTTGTTTACAGTTAGGGTAGGTTAAGTTAGGTGTGGTATACAAATTTGCCTAACAAAGAAAAAAAAAATATTTATTTTAAAAAGTTTTTTCTTTATTCTTTGTATTTTTTTTGCTTCCGACGACGGAAAGAGATAGAGTTTCCGAAACGTTAAGCATTTTTTCTTTGTTAGGCAAATTTGTATAACTGTAAACAAAACTTCTGACAAGCAGTGTCCGTTTAGGTTATTTTATTTTAGTAGATTATTATTATAGTATTAGTATTAGGCTATTTTATTTTAAAGATTTTCTTGCAGTGCAGTGGCGAAATACCCATAAAGAATTTTTTGGAGCCAACCCAAAAAACCAAACCAATCCCACTACACGAGGAGATTTCCCTGGTACTAGGGAAATTATCCTGCAGGTTTATATAAGAAAGGGGTTCCAGGGACAGCAATAGAAATAATGGAGGTATATATAACAAGAGAAACGCTTAAACAGTACACATATTGTTATAAAAAATTCTGGCAATTTTGTGCTGACAGTAATAACATAATAAACATATTTGGATTTTTTATCCGATGCCTTAAAAAAGGTCTTTCATTTTCTGTAGTCAATTCTTATAGATCATCTCTTAATTTGATATTTAGTCCTATAAGTAATAATGATGAAAAAATAATTAATCGTTTTGTGACCAGAGTCTAAATATAAGATTACTTGGGATCCAGACCCTCTATTAAAATACCTAGGTACATTATATCCTCTAGAGACGTTAGATTTAGAATACGCAACTTATAAACTAGTCACTCTTATGGCACTGACATCAGCCAGCAAAGCTCAGACTCTTTCTCTAATTAAAGTTCAAAACATTAATATATCGGTAGACAGAGTTGAGATTAAAATATCAGATAAGGTAAAAACATCCGCTCCAGGCCGATTCCAACCACTATTAGTTTTTCCGTTTTTAAGAGTAAACATGAACTTTGCGTTGCGTCCACCATTGCGACCTACATTAAAAGAACGAAACCAATACGCAATACCGAAGAAAAACTAATTCTTACCCATAAAAAACCACATCGTTCATCATCTTCTCAGACATTAAGTGGGTGGATTAAAAATACTTTAAACTTGGCGTAGATACGTCCATTTTTTCAGCCCATAGTGTACTTCACGCTACAACTTCGGCTGTGATAAAGCAGGCGTAAATATAGAGATAATTAAAAATACAGCAGGTTGGACTCCTGCCTCGAACACCTTCTTTAGTTTTTATAATAGACCTGGGGGGCAATTTTTGACCATTCGTTTCCTTGCATATTGTTCGCAACTTTTCGATCAACACTAAAATCCAATTTTTAAGTGTTCGCATTTTTGCGTATTAGCAAATTTCCCTGCGTTGTCTTGCGAGCGGATCGACAGCATCGTGTAAGTATATGTTTTTTAAGTGCGCATAGTAGATTTGATAGTTCCAAGTTTGTAGTTGGGTTTAGGTGTAAAAATAATAGTAATGGATGACTTAATGAACGTTTTGGCCATTCGAAACCTAGAAAATGCAGAATTGCAATACCGCCGTAATGTTTTGCGCAATCCGGGGAATGCGTTCATAGAACTGAGTGAAAGGCAATTTATTAAAATATTTCGGTTATCTAAAGATTTGTGCCGTTTTTTAATTCAGTTACTTGAGCCGTACATGCGACCACAAAGAAGAGAGACTGATTTGGATGTGCAAAGCCGGGTAACATTTTTCTCTCTTATTGTATATCTATTAAGTAACATTAAATTTCAGATTTTAGCTGCTTTGAAATTTTACGGAAGTGGTTGTTATCAGCCGGATGTTGCTTTAAATAAATACATCGATATGTGCCAAGCCTCGGTTTCTCATTCAATTGATGAAGTTACCAACGCTCTAAACCATCCAGAGATATTCGATCAATGGGTTGAATTTCCAAATAATTTTGAAAAACTCAACAGAATTAGAGAACAGTATGGTTTTGCAATACGGGTATTTATTGCATAATTACGTATTATCATTGTAGATTTTTTCGAATACATAGGTTCCCGGGAGTGATAGGATGTGTAGATTGTACACATGTTGCCATTGTACCACCAAACATCGAGGATCCCGAGTATCCAGAACATATTTACGTTAACCGAAAGCATTATCATTCGATAAATGTCCAATTGGTAATGTTTATGTGTCATTGGTTTACTAACAAGTAACAAATTTGTTTTAGATATGTGACGCAAATCTCAAGATTTTACATGTGAATGCAAAGTACCCAGGAAGCACGAACGATGCTTACATATGGAGTAGATCAAATGTACTACCATTTTTGAGAGACTTACATGCAGCAGGTCACACTGACTACTTCCTTTTGGGTAAGTATTTGTTCATAATAATTTTGTAAATTATTTTTAATAAAAATGTTTTTTTAGGAGATTCTGGATACCCGCTTCGTACATGGTTACTAATCCCCTTTCAAAATGTGGAACCCAATACCATTGAAAGCTCTTATAACGAGAGACATAAACACACACGTGTCAAAATAGAATGTTGTAATGGAGTTTTAAAAGCCAGATTCCGTTGTTTATTAAAGCACAGAGTGCTTCATTATAAACCAAGGAAGGCCTGCGAAATTATTAATGCATGTGTTGTTCTGCACAATATATGCATCGAGTATAATGTACCCTTGCCGCCTGAGGATCCTGATGAAGGCAAGGGCATAGAAGTCGATTTTGGAATCATAAATGATATAATAGAAGACCAAGACCTGCATGTAGCGAGATCAATTAATCCTGAACTAGCTGATGGGCAAAGAGCTAGAATCACAGTTGCAAGAAGTTTTCAAAGACCAAATCAATTATAATTTATTTTTATGTTTCCTATTTTTTAAGTAATGCATTAACAATTTATACAAATAAAGATACTGAAACAAAACTAAATGAAAATTTACTAAATTAATCTAAATTAAGATATCTGGGTAGGTCTGCAAGCATTCCTTGCTTTCCTTCAATAGCTGTAGCGATCCTTTGCAATGAATCTGCTTTCCTTTCTTCAGCCTCGGCCATTCTTCTCAGTATTGCCAGTTTTTCAGCATAATACTCTTGCTTTAAAGTGATCTTCTGTTTTAAATTTGATTCAAAAGTGGTGGCCGCCACTGCTGAGTTTATGAGGTTATCAAGTTTTTTTGGTAATTTGCCTTTTTCATTTTCTTTCTTCTCCGGAAGTTGTTTTTGTGGTTGTAATTCAGATATATTTGCTAAGGGCGACAACAGTTCCCTATCTGTTTCACTCTCTATATCTGTAGATGTTGTATAAGCATTTGTAGTATGGGTCTTCATTTCTTCAAATACATGGTTTTGTGCTTGCTCATTACTGGTGACATTTTTTATACGTTCTTGTTCGTTAACGATAAAATTTGTAACTGTTGACTCTGCGACATCATGCCCCTCGACTGAAACCTTCTTTATTATAGCGAGAACTTCCTCCTCTACACTGGTTAAGGAATCGTCAATTTTCTTGCCACCCCCTGTTCCATTTGCATACATTTGGTTCTTGGCTTGCTTACTTTTCGTGCGACTTCGGAGGTCTTGCCAAGCCTAAAAATATGAATGAATATGTATTACTCTAGAAAAAAAGAAGAATCGATGAGGAGGGGCATTTATCTTATTAGATTTCAGACTTTAGACTATATTTCGTTTATTTGAATTTCCGTAGAACACAACTTTTTCCTTCCTTCTATGCCCACCGCTACTAAATTGCACTAAATTGCTTATCGTTTTCAAGATAAAAAAAAAAACTTTCAAAATACCCCTCATATTTCTCCAATTTTCATGTTTCAAGTCAACTCTGGTATAAGCTGTATCAATAACCGAGAAATTATTTAAAACAGGCAGTAGGTACTTACTTTTCGCCAACTTTTCCAATCTTTCTCGGCTCCCGGCATACTATTTAAAATAGCTGAAATATCCTGCCAGTCCTTTGCTGCATCTTTTGCAGTGTAATGGCTAGTTTGCTTTCCACTAATTAAAAGCGGCCTCTTCTTTACAAATTCTATTAATGTTGCTTTTTGCTTTTCTGTAATATTAGTTCCACGTTTTTTTCCATATTAACCCACTTGACCAACAAACCTCGAGTATCGACAACAAGTAATGAAAAGTAAATAAACAGTAAAAATACGGTTAAACTGGAAAGAATTTAGTTTTTTCACTGTGGTTTGTCGACGTTGCCACAACTCCGGCTCGTAATTTTGCGTACGCTCACGACTATCGCAAATTAAGATGCGAAGATGGCTGAAAAATTGAATTTTTAAAACGCATTCGTTTTCTAACACTCGCAAAGTTGCGCGTTCGCATGCAAACGATCAATTCCAAAAATTGACCCCCTGTAGAAGAACCTCAAGATAAATTTGCCAATGCCCTTATTGAATTGAGTTCTAATAAATCGTAGTGTTCTACTGTTAGTATTATTAAGTATTTTTTTATTATTATTTAGGTGTTACCAATATATCATATTCATTCTATTAGTTATAAATTATTCTTTACAATATATATTCAGTAGTCAGTTATAAACTCAGAGTTTATGTTAATCATTTATTAGTAAATATGTAAAAATATAAAAAATATATTTTCTAAAGTTTTCTAAAGTTCTAAAAATTAAATTTTTTTTTTAATTTTTAGAACTTATATTTCTTACAATAAGTAATTGTTAGAGAAGGGAATATCTTATGGTAATAATTAATTATATCAATATATGGTTAACAAAAATAAAAAATTAAAAGATCAGTATTAACTAGATTTAAAAAACATATGGGTCAGATAAGATATGGTAGACCGGATAAATCTTGCGTTGCTGAACATATTGTTGATAAAGAACATTGTACAGATATTAGTAATTTAAAATTAATTAAACAAGTCTCAAATTACAGGCAATCAGATGCATATGAGAGTGTCAAAATTATTAAATGTAAAGACAGTATGAACAGAGACAATGACCCAATTCCCTCCAATTCTCTGTTCCTACTGCTCTAGTTTTCTGTAATTAATTGTTACGCTCGGTCGGTTTTGACTCGCATGGCTAGTTTTTTGTCTCGCCTACTCGTAGCCCACTGGGCGAGTATATAAACGCTCAAATTGTAGATATTAGTTTAGTTTTAATCATCTGCTGATGGTGCTAACATGGTTAGCGAAACACGCCTGCAGCGCAAAAGTAAAAGTATTTTGGTGTATTGTCGTGATTTAGTGTTTTATTTTGCTATAGAAATTATAAACACTGAAGAAATAAATTTCCTAGAAAGAATGGACATAGACAGAGATGTACCATTCGAGAAAATTAAAGACAATCTATTAAAATCCAATTTAAAAAATATTAATTTAGATCATTCTAACAAAGAAGAAAAAGACACTATAAGAAAATTATTCAATAAACATCGAGATATTTTTTACTCAAAAGAAATTCCTTTAACGTTTACGAATCAAGTGAAGCATAAAATTAATACAACAGACGAAACCCCTATTTTTGTATAATGATATAGAGACCCTGAAATCTATAAATATGAAGTTAAAGATCAAATAAGGAAAACGTCAGACAACGGAATAATAAAAATCGACATCACCATGGTCAAGTCCCATATGGACCGTACCCAAAAAAATGGAGAGTAGTAATAGACTCTAGAAAACTAAACGAAGGCATTAAATGACAAGTGTCTACTATCCAACATAACGGAAATCTTATATAAACTCGGGAAAAGTCAATATTTCACAACTTTATATTTAGCTAGCGACAATCATCAGATAGAAATGCATCAAGACGATATGCCAAAGCCATCTACAGAAAATGGACATTATGAATTCAAGCGAATGCCATTCGGATTTAAAAATGCACCGTCGACTTTCCAGCGACTAATGGATAACATATTCAAAGAACTACAAAATGAGATATGTTTAGTGTACTTAGACGATATAGTATGTTTTTGAACCTCACTACAAGAACACGTGACTAGACTAAAACAAATATTTGAAAAGTTAAAAGAAGCAAATTATAAAAGTACAATTAGATAAGTCAGATTTCTTTAAGAATGAAGCCAACTATTTAGGACACATAATAACACCCCAAGGAGTCAAACCAAACCCAGAAAAATACGAGCAATTAAAAAATTTCCCATCCCCAAAACACCTAAAGAAATAAAAAGTTTTTTAGGATTAGTAAGTTACTAGAGAAAATTCATTCCCAATGTGGCAAGAATAACAAAACCACTAACTTATTGCCTTAAACAGGTAAAAAAATACACGATGAAAATGTCATAAACTCTTTTAAAACATCTATACTGGTTCTATACACTTTATCCTGATTTTACTAAAACATTCACTCTTACAACAGACGCATCAAATTTAATTATCGGAGCAGTAATATTGGATCAGACAAACCAGTGGCGTATGCCTCAAGAACGTTAAACGAATATGAATGTAAATACAGTACTATAGAAAAAGAACCATACTCTGTTTTTACTACTACTTTGGTACTACTTTTTTCTCAGATAAGATTTCGACAGATGATGACAGAAAATAAGCAGATGACGATCCATACCAATCTATTTACTTCACTAAAAAAAGTTTCTAATGTTTTTTAAGTTAACTATGGATTTGTTTATATATAAATCCGTCGTGCGTCGTCTCTTGTTGTTTTTAACCAGTTTTATTGGTTTGTTTCAAAAATGACAGATCATATTTCAATATTATTGGATTGATGCAACGATGAACGATATACGTACGCATATGCGTATGAACCCGACTTAAGATTTTTGAGGCTTGTCAAACTCTTGCCAAATTATAGGTTATAATTTTGTGTCAAATTATGTCAAATACCGATTTCAAATTGCTTTTGCATTTTGGTTTGTGTTATTAGTTATGTGTTTTGTGTTTTTGAAGTTAAGTGGAGGAAAAATCGAGGTAAACTTAACTTGTGACTAACTAATAAACGGAATAAAAAGAAAACCATCTTCAATTTTCCACTGTGGAAATGAACTAGGCGAAGCTAAAATCTTTCGCTTCATTGTCTCATACCATGCATCAGTATGATCTAAATCTATATTCAAAATAGAAATTTGTGGACATACAAAGGAATCATTATCTGAAATATCTGAAGGAGAATCATCGCCAGGTATTCTACTAAGAAAATCAGGAACTACGATATGTAACCTTTACGATGAACTAAATCAAAAGTAAACTGTCTAAGTCTGACAGCCCATCTAGCAAGACGACCAGTAGGATTCTGTAATTTATTAAGCCACAAAAGAGAGTAATGATCTGTACAAACGGTAAAACGTACGCCATCAATCCAAGGACGAAATTTTTCCAAACTAAAAATAACAGCTAAGCATTCTCGCTCAGTTACACTATAATTCCGCTCGGATCTAGTAAGAGATCTGCTAGCATAAGAAATTACACGGTCTTCGTCATTAATTTTTTGTAGAAGAACTCCACCAAGACCGGTGTTAGATGCATCTGTTTCTATAATAAAGGGTTTAGAAAAATCCGGCTGGGACAAAATTGGAGCAGAAACCAGAAGTTGTTTAATTTTCAAAAAAGAATCTTCAGCGGCAGGACTCCACTGAATTCCTTGACCTTTCTTTTTACCTTTTAACAAATCATTAATGGGTGAAACTAATGTCGAAAAATTTCTTATAAAACGACGGTACCAACTACACAAACCTATAAATCGTTTAATTTCAGTCGTCGTGGTAGGGCGAGGAAAGTTTAACATTGCTGAAATTTTTTCTGGATCAGTTCTTAATGAATTAGAGCCAACAATATATCCAAGAAATTTTAAAGATTTCTTGAAAAACTCACACTTCTTTATATTTATAGTTAAGTTAGCATCTTTTAACTTGTCTCTA